CATGTTCATGTACATATATGTACACATATATCCATAAATGCAATTTATCATAGAAAAATATAATTTCTAAAAAAATAGTAAGATAAAACTTAATTTTCAAGTGAAGGAATTACAAAGAAATCATAGATATAGTCAGAATTATTAATTCTGAATTTTGTAATTCCTTCACTAATAATTAATGTTTTATAATACTACAGCTTCAGATAAAGTATTCTTAGTATTACTGGAATAAACTTTCATTATTTTCCGTTAGGATATTTTTTCAAATTTATTATAAAAAGAAGATAAAACTTCTTATCTTCTACAAATTCGTTCATTTTCACACTGCATTCTTTCTCCATCTGATTCTCGATTTCTTGTTGGATGCACTTCTTCATTCATAGAATTCACATTAGCAACTGGGGGTGGTGGAGTATTATTAATGTGTTTCATGTTTGCAGTTGGAGACGGTGGTTTTGTTGTTCTGATTGCGTTAACATTATTAACTAAATTTGGAGGTTGATAAGTTGCTAAACTTTTTAATCCAAGTACTTCTGGATTTTCTTTCCAAAAACGATCTCCAATAATGTCATCTACTAATGGAACTACTGCAGGTTTTAATCTACCCGTTCCATCAGGTACTAATTTCCTTATAAGTATAGTACCCTTTCGAAAAAGCGGTGGCTCATTGTTGTAATTTATACCAAATTCTTGAAACAGCAATTCATTCTTATGTGATGCTAATGTACCTCTAAGCTTTCCTTCAGCCTAAAAATTCAAATAAGTAAATAAAAACAATAATTTTTAAAAATAATTCAAAATCACTAATATACATGTAATTATTTATGTACATGATTACTGTTTCATTGACATACATTTCATTTAGATTACATTTTTATTATATAAAAGAGTTTACCTGAGCTGGAGTTAATTTTCCTTTTAGTACTAGATTCCAAAAACAAGTATTATATAAATTGTTTACGTGAGCATCAGCTTGTCGCCATGCTAAGTAATCCCTTAAATTTTTATCTGTAGGATACAATATAACACGGGCATCAAAAGATGGTGGATAATATAATTCCTTGCCTTGGAAGAAACGAGGCCAGTGATAAACATATGATGATGCAAAGAGAGAATTCACATTTGTCATTAATTTCGAAGCTAAAATATTATATTAAATGTTTTAAACAACATACTTATATTATTAAACATTGCAGAATATAAATATTATGTAATATATAAATAATAAGAATTGTATAAAACTAAATACACGTACATACACATACATATACACACATGCACACACACATCATGTTCCCATATCATTTATTTAGCATATAAACTACTTTTTAAAATGTATATACCTCTTCGTTTGTAAAGTTCAGTATCTTTTCGAAAGACAAAAGAATATTCGTCACTTTGACCAAAGCCTATTATGATTTCTTTAAAATCTTCCATAACCGTAATAGCCGCGCGATTCATTAATTGCAAAGCAGCTACATCGTTCGGCTTATTAAATTGATGCGCTTCACAAAACTTCGAAAAGTTTCTTCCATCTATTCTAACCACAATCCAACAATTTGGCAAACAACAGTCATCACGTTCAAATTCTTTTACATATTCAAATTTACTTTTAGCCATTCTCGTCAAACTTATGTGCCGGCTATTGACCACTTGTTTGACCAAGCTAATGATTTTCAGGATGTTACTTCCTGTTGTCTGAAAATACAACATTTCCTGAAACCGCTGACTGTTAAGTGTTGAAGTCTCCACTGTCGAGTTTGCATTGGTTTTTGATGTATACTATTTATTTCATAAGGCACTTATTAAAAAACTATCATTGACTTTCTATGACGAAATAAATTAATGTTTGATACATACATTTCTAAATAACCACGTGTGCATTTATTGGTTAGGTGTAATTGGCTTGCCAGTCGTAGGTACCAAGATTGTAATAAATTTTTACGAATAAAAAAATACTTAAATTAATGAAAGAATTTATTTAAACGTTTAATATTTTTATGGAAATATATATTTATGTGCATATGTATATAAATAAATTCAAATATATAGAAACAGAAATTGCAGCAAAATGGATTTACATGAACACTATATGCACACTTCAACAATAGATTTCTCAATCTTGGAATTATTAGAAATTGCATTTAAAGATGATCCATTTTTATTGCTACATCGACTAAGCAAATACTATTATACCGAAATACAAAAAGATAATTTACATGCAAAACAATTATACACATTTCAAATGATATTATGTTATGAATATCAGCTTGTATTTCATGCAAAAAAGAAACATTCCAAAATAATGCCGAATGATTTATGTCTTAAAACTACAGAAAATACTCTACTTGGAAAGAAAAAATTACAAAATTTTACGAAATATCCAATTTTATATGATATTTTAATTCTACAATTAACACTTTATTGCGATGCATTCTGTATTGAACAACATTTGATAAATTTTCGGCAATTAAATGCCGATATTTTAAATAGCAATGAAAGTAAAATTTTTTATATGAAAATATTAGAATGTTTTTTAGAATGCTTACAATTAAAGAAATTTTTATATAACGACTTGGAATTAAATCTACGGAAATGTTTAAGTTCAATGTACCTGGAAGATATAGTATCATGGTTACAAATAAAAGAAAATAAAGAATGGCAATTATTTGCTTCAATTTTGCCAAAGTTAATAAATACCTTTGATTTTGAGAATGTTTTCCCAACCATATGGGATTGTACCTTAAATAAATTAGATGATTTAAAAGATTTATTATGTGCACTCAGCATTTTAACAGATACATGTTTTTCATTGAACTTAAAAAATAAGAGTCTCATATATTATGATATATGTTATAAAGAACAACTATGGTTGTCAATAATACAGAGCTTAAAGTCTCCAATACAGCAGCATCGTAAACAAGCATTATTTATAATGAAACAAATAATTAATTTCATGAGTACTATAAATGGAAATGATTTAAAATCAGAAGAATGTACAATTATTCCTTTTGTATGCAATCAATCAATCAAAACAGAAATATCAATAAATGATATTAAACAAAATTATTTCTTGATATTAGAGGCTCTGGAAGAAAAACAGCATCATCTGATATTGCCTGCATTAACTCATTTATCAATTTTGATAAAAGGAAATAAAGAGCATGCTGCATGTAACAATTGCTTCAGCAATATTTGGTTACAATTAATTTTTGAGAGAATATTATTGCACGATAATAATGCTATAGTAAAACAAGGTGTATTATATGTTTGTAAATTACCTATCCTTCTGCAAGATGATCAGTTTACAAAATTATTTATACATATTTTAAATAATACATTTTTGTATGAATGTCAAACTCAACAAGAACCAAAAATATTAAATGATATTGTGACATTATTCGTGCATGCAAAAAAGAACCAAGATGAATTTTTGAATAAAGTTCTTCAAATAATGATTGAAGAAACTTGGGCTCCTATACCAATATTTTATATGATGAAAGTTTTAAGGACAGTTTCAAGCCAAGTAATGAATCATTGGGCAGATGAACAATTAAATTTAATTAAATCCTTAATCCAGAAAAATTTAAATATGCATTCTCATATATTAAGGGTTGCATCTCAAATTGAACTTTTGAAAACAATTTCTCTTTCTGTAAAGAAGATTAATGATTTGAAAATTGCAATGAACATGTTGTTAGAATTTTCTTTAGAAGATATTGTTATACAAAATTCATTTTCATGGCATATTATAATATCATGGCTAAAAGAAATATTAGTGGAAGCAAATGCAATAAATTTTATTAAATTTGTTTGTGAAGAACATTCTTATCAAAATTTGCATGCAAAATTCAATCCTGCAAAATTTGCTGTTATTATTATTATATTTCATGATGCAGGTCTAATATTTCAGCAAAAAGCATGTCCTATAGGAAAAGTACTTAATAATTGGATGTCATCACTTAAAGGGATAGATATGAGACCCTATGCAAATGTTATACATATCTTTTATATAGTAGAATTTATATCACATTTGCTTAATTTAAGTGACAAAGAAATTCAAGGAAGTGTTATACAATTGTATATTAATGATGCACTAAAATTTTTACTTAAACATAGCAAAACCATACCATACAAATTTAATTATGAAGAATTAAACAGATATCTCACTGCAATTGTTTTAATTCTTAATAATGGAACAAAACTTTTAACGGAGAAGGAAGTTTTATATTATGTTGAAAAGTTTAAAAATGAAAGTATAACTATTATTCAAAATATAAAACAATATACAAATATGCACTATGTATATGCTTTGTATATTTTATATTATACTCAAAATATTTTGTGCACAAACCATACTTCATTTTATTTACAACCATTGTTAAACATATGTGATATCCACATATTTAACAATGATGAAACAGAAGTGGAATTTACTAAAAAAAAAATAGCCTCTGATTGTTATATATTACTTGCGAGGCTCTTAAATCAATTTCTATCAAAAGTAGAGACAGAATTATGGCCACAAAATATTGACTGGATGAAAAGTATTTCCTATTTATACGAAATGGGAGGAAATGAAATTGTTCCAGAAATAGCACTAATATTAAAAACAATGATTAATAAGGAAGCAATAGGAAATTTAGAAAGTAAATCAAATTTAATATCTATTTTCACTACATGTTGGAGAACCACTTTGTTGAGTACAAAGAACAAGATTTTCTTCCTAACAATAAAAAATCTTATAGGAGTTATTATAAACAATAATTTTTTGGTATTGCCCAATATTAAAAATTTTGTAGACAGTGTAAGATAGTAATATATTGTTCAGAATATAGGTATCTTCTTATATATTAAAAATATTTTTAATTTTTAGTTTCTTAATCAATTACTTGAAGAAGGTAATAATGTGCCAAAACTGAAAAAATTTTTACTAAATGAAATGAAATTATTAAATACATGCTATATAAAGGATCTGCAAGAATCATTGTTCGCATGTCTTCTTCATGGACATATATTTCGAAAAGATAAACAAATAGAAAATCAAGTTTATTTGTACATTACAAAAAATTATCATACTTTTTATCCACAACACATAAAAATAATGTGGGTATTTTTATAATCTTTAATATTATTATATTATTACACATTTATTTCTTATTAACATTTTATTTTTTTTAACAGAGATCATAATAATGATGTTAATATTAGAGCAGCTTCTGTTATTTTGCTACATCAGATAATTAATCAAGATAAAAAATTTGGAACAATATTTCTTCCAAATATCTTACAGAAATTGGAAAAATACAAAAATAAACGATATTTCAATCACTCTTATATACATAAAATAAAGCATCGAATTATGCAAATTTTGTTAATAATACAGCCAATTTTAACTAAGGTAACAAAATATATTTTCATTTAAAAACTACACATTATTTTATTTTAAGTAGCAGTAATAAATATAGCAAAAGAAAATTAACTTGTCTACAGAATGATAATGTGATATTGCAAGAATTTCTTTGTAATTTAATACTTTTGGAAAGTAATCAACATAGTGTTCGAATAATGCAAGAATGGTTATTAATAAGAATTTTTGTGGAAAATATGGATTTTCATGATAAAATCTGGGAATTTTTTGAGAAGGTATTCAAACATTTTTTGTGTTATGAAATTTATTTTTTATAAATGTAAGATTTAATTAATGTAATATATATAGGCTATTACAACACGTCCAGGGTGTGTTAGTTCCATAATATGTATCATTTATCATGTTTCAAAGCTTCTATCTAAAGATTCCCAAAGCAATTTTATTTTAATAGCATTTAATTACATTACACGTTGTTGTTTGGGACAACAATATAATATGCGTCTTTATGCTCAGGTAAATTATATTACATCAATTTATAGAATAATAGTAAGTTATGATAATATTATTTATTCATAATAGATTATCTTCGTAAAATTATATAAAATGTTGGAAGAAGTAAATTCTGATCATGTTACACTACAATACAAAGGGTTGTACAATGCTGCAATTGCAAGTTTAAAAGATGGATTAGCAAAAAATTCAAGCAAAATTCAGGATGATTTTTATCTTTCTACTTTCCATCCTATACTGGACTATACTTTACAAGTAATATTACTAAATTTAATATTCAAAATCATTAAATAAATCCATAAAGATACTTGGTACTTAAATAATATTCTTTTTCTATTTATAGACAATTTATTATGAATTACCTCGGTTAACTGATATGGATATGAGTGAGTGGATAGCTCCATATTTATTTGAAAATATGAATTTTAGAGAATTAAAGGATCATTCTCTTCAGCTATATAATTTAAATACATCATTATCAGATACTAAAACATCATCATTTTTAATAAAATCTTCAGGTATTTTATGAACTATTATAATTATAGTTTATTATAATTTCTGATATGTTTTATGCATGTAATGAATATCAAATTCCACAAAAATTTTTAAAAATGCAGGTGATACAGAATCTTTTGGAAAGAATGGTAATATGAAATTTGAAGAATTAAATGATATTCAAAAAAAAATTAATCCTTTGTCTACCAATTTGTTACATAATGATGTTTTTCCAACAATCAGAGAATCCATTTCTCATAAAAAAATATTGGATGAAGGTCTTGTAGTTGTAGCATGTCTTATTAGTCGTACTCCAAATTTAGGAGGACTTGCCCGTACTTGTGAAATTTTTAATGTCAAAGAATTAGTTATTTCTAATATGAGTCAAATTAAAGATAAAGAGTTCCAAAATCTTAGTGTATCAGCTGAAAATTGGATAACTATTACAGAGGTACTTTTTAATAACATTTACATGACATTTTAATACAAAGGATATTTATTATAACTAATTTTTTATTGTAGACAAAACCACATGAATTATGCAGATATTTATTAAATAAAAAAGATATGGGATGGTCTTTGGTAGGAGTAGAACAAACAGCTAACAGTACAAATTTATTAAATATGAAATTTGAGAAAAAGACAATTCTTATTTTAGGGTAAGTAATTTATAAAGTTAAATAAATTCATATTAAAATAATATAAAATATTATTTATAGAAATGAAAAGGATGGGATTCCTGCCAATTTGATACCTTTATTCGATACTTGTATAGAAATACCACAAGTAGGTGTGATACGATCATTAAATGTTCATGTTACCGGAGCAATATGTATATGGCAATATGCAAAACAACATATATTAACATAATTCTGTTTTTTATTGTAATAAATAATTATATAATATTATGTCTAATATTCATAATATTGATGTTTATTTATAAAATTAAAATTATATTTATGTGTATATGTATATATGTATATATATTTATTTGAATGACTATTATACAGAGATTGTATACATAAATATATTAATACATCTTTATACTTTATATCCTACAATATGTCGTTTCCCAATACATTCTCCAACAAAGAACCAACATAAAATTTCAATTCCAACTAATGTATTTAACCAAGCTTCACGCACTGAGAGATCAAGATATCGTTTGTTTTTAGCAGCACTGATTAAGTTGGAAAAACCAGCTCTTATGGCAGAAATGTCAGACACCTTTGGCGGAACTAGTTCTACTTTCCCATAGTATACAATATTTCTAATAGCAGGTTTGGCTTTTGCTGTTAAAACTGCAATGAACACATAATTATAAGTAATAATTATGATACGCTTTCTTCATATTGGTAAGAAAAGTTATTAATGAATGATAATCAAACAGGAATGCATTGGTCTTGCATAACCTACAGAAAAGTATTTCTAACAAATTATCAATGACTTATTTAAGATTATTCTGAAATTACTATGATTTCTTCTTTTTTGAGAAAACAAAACGATTCATTTTGATCGTACAACGAGAATATTAGTTATATAATAATCGACTGATATGTAAGTTGTATCTAATTTTACGAAATAAAATAATTGTAACAGTTAAATGTTAAATACATACCAGATACAATTTCTATTACGGCTTTTGCCATTTTTAATCACTATAACTTGTTTTAACGTGGGAAATCGCAATCGCCTTACACTTCCCTTTAACAACCCTCTTAGCAAATAATCACCATCTACTGGTAATTTTTGGAATTATAATTTAAAATTACTCAACAAAACATATTGTAAATAAGTTTATAAAATTATTACATATAATGCACAATAAATTGAATTTCGCATAATTATAGAATTTTATAGAATTTTTATAGAATAGTATAGAATTATTTTTGGATTTTATATTTTATGTTGCACGAAAAAAAGTTCATAAATTAATTCAGTATAACGTGTGCAAATTTATTGTATATGTATTATAATTGTTAATAACTAATCAATTAAGTAAGTAATCGTAGCCAAAATTATGTGTGAAATTTATTATGCATGTTTCTAATTACATTCACGAACAAATTTGACCTTCTGAAATTAAAATGTAGATTGAGAGATTAAATGTAGAGAGAGATTAATCATTCAAGCACAAACTTCAATCTATTAAATAAAATTTGCAAATCTTTATTCCTATATGTCGTAAATTAAAAGGAATATAAGAAGAAAGTTGAGGATTCAATTAGAAAAACGCAATTGTAAAAATTTACAAATCACTAGTTTTGATTACTTTTTTATGTAAATAAAAATTTTGTAAATTGATGAAACTAATCATTTCATAATTAGAAAATATAGAAATTAGAAAATATAATAAATTTCAGATTTTCACATGATTAATTTGTATTTTACATGTATACATTTCAAAATTGATATTTTCAACTAGATCTATTTTGATTTAAATTTTGAATATCGTTTACAAGAAAGTAAATATTATTCGAACAAAAGTTTCCATTTATTGACTACAATTTGTAAATTTTTATACATAAATTTTTATAGGTCAAATGAATATAGTAAGAAAGCTGACGGTCCAATTCAAAGAATGCAATTGTAAAAGTTTATAAATTAACATCTTAAATTATTTTTTTTGCAAATGAAAATTTGATTGATTTATGGACACTAAAATGTTAACGCCACGTAGCGATGAAAATGTAGAACTAAATGCTATTGCTATTTTTGTCATACACTATTGTCTTCCTTATCTGTCACGTGATATGTATTTGACTTTGTCGACAGTATTACGTTCCTTGTACATGAAATCGACAGATGGCAGGACGATGGTTATTTCGTAGACTTTTATGGCGGGTAATTTATAAAAATTACCAATTTATTTCCGATTTAGGATACATATACTGAAAATATATGATATGTATTTCACAAACAGCAAGTTTATTAAACTTTCTGTAAGTATACAAAACACTTACATACAGTACAGTTTCTGTGAAAAAGCGGAGTATGCACATAAAGAATTTATATAACAAAATAAGTATCTAATATTTAAAAAATGGTATTTTGAGAACTGAGTTATAAACATTATGACTTATTTTATTTGTATTTATTAATCCCAATTTTTTACACGTAATTCAGGTTCTAGAATGCTCCAATTTGGTGAATGTTTCTCGTTAGATAACCAATTAAAATCATCGACACAATTCCAGTTATTTATTTTTGGATCAAGCCCAGCTAGATTAAAGTGATTTGCTTGATCTTCGTAAGACCAGTTATAAGGTGCTACACGTATTTTTGTACAATCTTCTATAATTGATCTACTTGTAACATGTAAATAAATAGTACAATCTGTTGAAGAATGAAATCGAAGTTGTTGACATGCGAAGGCAAATGCACATTCATTACAGTCGTGTGCAAATACAGATGAAGTTACTGGTCCAACTAATACAGTACACTGTTTCAAGTTTACCATGTGTAAAGTACTAGGTGTGCCATAAATCCGTACTGTACAATGGCTTAAATCAGAAAGTAGAATATCATTTTTATTCACATTTTCAGCATCCAAAATTAATTGTTCATTAACTTTCCCTAATAACATACATGCACTATCCCCATATTTACTTGATAATTTATGATTTTGTTTTGCAGACCCATTTACAATTCCCTCCGATATCTTCAAATCTTTTAAACCATCTGTCATATCGTGTGTCTTGTCAGATGTTTTTTTTACAACTCTTCGATTTTTAAAACCGAACTTCTTTTTAGGTAATAATTTTATTTCTAGATCAGAAGCTTCATTCTCTAATAATTGTAAATTTTCTTGTGCTCTTCTAATATCATATACCTTTAAAAACATTTTTGATTGTGATAAATAATTTTTAAGTGTCTGGATTTCTTTATTTATTTTATCAAATATCCCAGGAAAAGCTGGTGTAGGAGCACTGGGCGCATCATCTAACATTTCTTTAATTTTCTTGTATGATGAATAAAATGTGTCCTTAAAATAACTACTTTGTTCAGATTCAACAGCCAATGATTGCCTTTCTTCTCTCCGTCTTTCAATAATATTCTTTCTTTCACGATCTCTTTTAGTAATACGCTCCGGTAAACTACCTTCTATTAGTGTAGGAGAATCCATATTGCACTTTTAGTATTTTTCTTAAAATTATGTCTTATATATCATTCAACTTTGTATGTTATATATTTGTCGTTTTTAATAATAAATTTATCTTTACCAATGGTTTATTATAATAGGATTTTATACTTAAAGGCTTTTAGGTAAAAACTGAAAAGATATAAATAATTAACTTATATTAATAAACAAGTAATTATCATATAAAAAATTTGTTAAATATTAAGTTAAAGAAACATAAATAGAAATAAAAGCTGTTTAGCAAATATTAAAAGAAAATATGTCGACTAAGATTCTTCAAAATAATATAGATTATAGATTTTGGCAAGAATTATCAAAGTAGCAATCAATTATAAACAGATCTTTCAACTATATTCTATGTATGATGCTGATTTCAGAGCATGCAAATACCTTTTTTTAAGGAGCATCAATTGAAGAGTATTTTAAACCGTCACTACCTATTCAGAATGGTGGAAGTTTTACAAACTTCATATGATTTAAATTTCATTTTGTTGCTGTTGCCACAGTGTAATATCCTCTAATCTGGTACTTGTGCTACGTACTTTGCTTTCAAGCGTGTAATAACCCTCCAGCAGCAGTGGGCAATATTTATACGCAAAATATCTGCAATCTGACATTTATAACGTTCATTTTAATAATTATTTAGATGCAGTTTACAAAAATTTCACCAACTACGGTATAATACATTGTAACTTTTCTAATAGCACGAATGCAACTAACTGCGATAAATTTAAATTTTCATCATAATGATTTTCGTATGTTTTCTTCATACAATATTCTTATGTTTCTTGAAATATTAGTTGTTATGCATAAAACCGTGTTAAACTGACAAACGAATGAAAATAACCTAAAATATAAAAGAACTGTATGGAGTAATACATAACTTATGTTTACCTTGGGATGTACTTAAGTAATGCCAGAGTCCTACTGATCCAATCAAAGATAGACATTCAGATACGATTAAAAATTTTGTTACAAAAAAAGATCTTTGTGGTGACTTATGAAGCATACTAGCCAACAATATGATTTCCTAAAATGGAAATTATCAATACGGCACAGAACGATGTATTTCTCGAGATATCGAAGCAGTTCGATAAGAATAAATAAAGCAACCTTATATGTTTTACTCTTATTATGCAATACTCGAAAGAACGGTCACTCTGTTCGATATAAAGAGCGGAAAATTTAAATTCACATTGAATATCAATTACTCTAATGATATATACATGATAATAAAATAAATGTTAGAAACTATTTATAATAAAACCAATAAACCATAATAAAACTATTTATAATTTTACAATGCAATAGGTGTAAAACTATATGTAAATTTTATCTGATATATTAAAGAATTTTATTATAATCAAATATACAGCAAGAGACATGTAAGATCGTAATCTAAAATATCTCCATTGTTTTTAGTGGTATGAAAAATATTTAAAGGAGAAAGCTGTTTAATTTGAAGAGACAAATAATAGAATAATCATTTTTCAAAATTATATGATGTAGATTCAATTATATCAACTTTAATCACGAGGAATTTCGAAAGAAAATGTGTTTTTGAAGCGGTGTATTTGAACCACAATAGAACTTTTCATCTTATATAAATATGATTTAACGAAGTACTTTTGATAAAATATCACTTTTCGTTTATTTACTTGCCCCTTCAATTTAAATATTAATTAAGGTATTTTCAGATCCTCCCTTAAAAATTTTTGTGCATTACCAAAAATAGTGTTCCTATTTTACGTGACCCATCTTATTTATAACATAATTAATAATATTATAATATTCTTTCTACTTATTTTTGCATCTGCTTATCTATCGGTTATGATGTTATGAAATTGATTGTAAATCTATCAACAGAGAATAATGTACAATGTACAATATAAAAGCATTTTGTTGATTCTTATATTTTAAATGAAATAATTGCAATAAAGAAGTTGTAATAGTAAAAATTTTTTCCCTTATTTAGGCATTTTTTAAAAAAATGTTTTGTTTTGATCGATTGTTATTATATAGTATTCAAAAATTTCATGTTGCATTCACGTATAGTAATATGCTTCTTTTCTCATATTTCACTATGAATGTATAAATAAATTTGAAAACGTTAATGCAAAATAATATATTATAATAAACTTTTTCCATAACACAACATTTTATGTATAAAATAGCGATATAATTTAATAGTACACACGTTACGTTTAGAAAGTGCAGAGCATTGTATCTATGGAAACAGTCTAATTTAAACATTGTAGAAGAATATTTATTATACAGCTTTTCATACAAAAGCATAGATAAAGTAAGTAAGTAGGAAATGTGCATTTTTAAACAATCATTTAAGAGTGCATTTGCAAGTAGTGTTTTTTATATATATAGCAATAAAAAAATAATTATTAAGATAATTTCTTTCATGATTTGTACAGGAAATGATGTAATTTCATTTTATTTAATTCTTTTTATATATCAAGTATTTAAAGTTAAGCACAAATTCTGTATCAAAATTTTGTTAATATTATTAATGCAAAATTATGATATTAACCTATTATTAAATTTATTACAATTTATTTTAATCTGTAATAATAGAGTAATATCTTACTAAAACAACTTTTTATATGATATAGATTATATTTTAAAAGATTAAGAAATACATATTCGTTTCTAAAAATAAGAAATGTCCGTTATTCGAAAAATAGGAAATATTCGTTATTATACATACTATGCATAAACAAATTCTTATTCACACATCTATCTGACTCTTTATAGTTTATTTAAAATATTTTCGGATAAATTATAAGTAACACAAGCAATTAATTCACGCATTATTGGTCTCAAATCATACAATTAGTACCTAATATTACGCATTTTTAATATAATGTATCTATTCTAAATATTTTAAGAACAAACACACGCTATGATAACAAACGGCAGTTCTTTTGCATAAAACCATATATTTATCATTTTATGTACATACGAAATAAGAAATTAAAATTTAAGAAATATAGAATAATGTACATAAAGATTCTTTAATAAGTTTTGCTTCCTTGATAAGATGAATCATATTATAATCTAATTATATTAGTTCTAATAAACAACTTTAATTGCACTGTGAAAACGCAAATTGTTATGTAAGATATAATTAGTTTATGCTTATGTATTATTATAATTCTTTTTAATTTTGTCAAAATCTCAGTACATCTGGTCCAAAACTATTTAGAAATCATATAGTATGATCTACATACAAGATAATACTGTTCAAAAAGTAGCTATTTTAATTATCCATTTTATAGTTTCTACTATAAATTAAATAAAAAAAAGATTTTTTTCAATTTCCAAGATTGTATGAAAGATCTTTGCCCCTTATTTATGTCAAATGATTGAAATTTAAATAATCTTTGTATGCAAATTTCTATATTTAATTTGTTGAACATGGTACATTTTGTATATCAAGTTGTCGTACACTAATTTCATAGAAAAAAAAAAGAATTCTAATAATTTTTTTCATTGCATAGAAAAGTAACATCGAAATATTTCAGAATAAATATAAAAATACTTAATTATAAGAGAGAATCATTGTTACTTCATTAATATTATAAATAAAAAAAAAAACAGTATTACATGAAAGAATTACGATGAAAGAATATGTAATATTTAAATATTTTTAAGTGAAATGAGTCATTTATATTATATGTTGTCATTTGTTATATTGCAAATTATACCAAATTATAAAAAAATCCTGGAAACTTTTAATTAGATTATAAAGTGCTAAGGCACCATAGGTAAATGCAAATGATAATAGTGATTGGTATCATATTATCTCACTACAATTTTAGGGGCATAAACTACAGACATTTCTTTTTCATGTAAACTTCTCTTGTTATGTAAACGTGTTTATAATATTATCTGTTCTGAATGTATTTGTACACACATACTCTACAACTTCTGATATTGTGAGACCTCCAGTTTGGTTTCATTGTTTAATATCAAATCCAAGAAAGGAAAAGTAATTGTTAGAATATTTTTATATTTATATTTTTATGATGTATTAACGTTACCATGTTAAAACAAAAGAAAGAATTTAATATACATTGCGTGTTTTTTTATTTATTAGTAAAGAAATCATTTTTAAAAAATAAAAAATGGCAAATTGTACAATTTGCTATGAATAAAACAAAAATTGATGTATCATATAAAAATATAATGAACATAGCATTAAAAGATGTAATATTACATATATTCAAAATAACAATTATTCATAGCACATGTTTTTAGTTTTGATTTGTAATTTTTAAATATTATATGTAGCCATAAAAGATGTTGTAGTTATCTTGTAATAATAAAACTCAAAATATCTGTAATAAATGAAATGCGACATATACAAATATTTGATTTATATCAAGGAACTAATGTTTTAAAATAAATATTCAGAATCGATGTACTTTACCAATATTGTATTAAAATTTTTATAAGCGTGAAAATATTAAGGCAAATGTAATATTTATAAATTTTTGACTCAGCACGTACATTTTAATAATATAAAATCACAGTACTGAATAAAGGTACTAATATCAGGATTCATGCTCAACTTTCACACACAAATCCAATTTGTTTTTTTATATTAAAATCGTCAAATTTTCAAATTTCTGATTAATCTTGTGTCAAACTGTACGTCTCATAACTGTTTATAAACTTCATAATTTATCTCAGTTAGTCATCAAATTATTTACTGAAATTAAATTTCTCTTCTTATAGTACTTCTACATTTTTTTAATCATGATTTACGACATCTGTATACAATTTGAAACATACAATATCAATGTAAGATGGCAGTTACATATATAGTGAAAAATGAGAATGATATCACCCTCATCAATGATTAAAAAAATTAATTAGAAATTTATTAAGCATGAAATTCTTATTTACAGCTTTTTATTTTTAGAAAGATTAAATTTGACACAGTTTTTGTCAAAACAAAATTTTTTTTGATAATATTCTCGCAAAATCACAAATTTTATCTTGCTGCAATGTTATTTACTTTGTTTAATGCTTGTTAATGCACATCAATTTTTCTTTTTACATTAATGCTACGACGGAATTTGTTGAATTTCTATTTTGTCATAACTTATATTAATCAACATATTATGCTGTTCTTTATTTTCAAAAATTTATATCATTAATTCATATTGATAAATCGTTTAAATTTAATTTTTACAGGCAAATGAACCATAAGATTTCATATAAAATTTGCTAATAAGGAAAAAATTGATTTTCAAATAACCTGATCATGTTCTTTAATCAATTAGCAGATGATGCTAATATGTCTTTCATTTACTCTCAGTAGTAGTCATTTACCCAGACTTACAGTAATGAGGCATAAAGACATAGCTGCTAGGGGCAGGAAAGAGTCAGTATGACGATCAATATGACAGTCTTTTGAACACCATGAGGTCATGGGAACACTGATATACTGTAGTACGCTACGATACCATTTCATGCCATCCACTACCATTTGAAGAATTGCTTTCTAATGGAACTAAAATTCAAACATATAAATTATAACATAAAATATTAATATCAAATATTTTCATGTAAAATTATCATTAACATTTTCATTGACAGTTAAGAAACTTACCAGTCTTGTCGCTATCAACTTTTTCTGGGGAAGATGATCTAGGTCCCCATATTCTTACTGTGCAATCATCTGATACAGAAGCCATCATTTGATGATATACAGGATTCCATGAAACACAATTTACTGTTCTACTATGTCCTGTTAGAATTGCTATAGGTAATTCCCTTTTGATATGCCACACATACACTTTAGTATCTATAATAAAATTTAATACAATTGTAGAATTGTATATATAATATCAAAATGATATTATAAATAAAATATATTTATTAAATAATTCACCTTCACTGCCGGATGCAATGAAATCTTGATTCACACCACCAAAACAACTATGGATTGTAAAGTGTCCTTGAGTAACACCTTGAAAACGTCTTACTAAACATCTATCTTGTAAGTCCCAAAGATGTACACCCTGATTGGCTACATTAAGAAGCGCAAGTCGATCTGCTTTATTTACACTAAAGGACATCAAAGGATGATCTTCTTGTAATCTATAATATCAAGTTCAAATGTTATTCAATATATGTTCATATTGCACTATATTGTTATTCAATAATAAAATTATGATTTTACATTGTAAAGTCACACAATTCATCAAAATTATATCCCCGAATTCGATGATGCGAATCAGCAGCAAGAACCGTTTTTCCGTCATTTTTACACCATAAACATTTTACTCTAACTCCTTCCCATGATTCTGAGACATTACCTTCTATATCCTAAAATTTTATGTTCAAATATTTAATGTATTATTTTTTTCATTAGATTGATGAAATATAATATGTTAAGAATTAATTGATGTTACAAATTGATAAAATTGTCCACGAAGTCCTCCCGCTACAAATTTACGTGAATCAGGATACCAAGCACAAGCCGTAAGTGAATCATCGGTACTTTGAGTTACTGTTGCCCGTAGTTCATAATCAGGTGGGTCAATACTCCACAGCCAAAGCTCTGGACAATCCTCAGGTCCACAAGCAATTAAGAGACTGCTATCAGGACTCCAAGCAATTAGTGCCACTCCATAAGTATGACCTTCTAATGTTTTTCTATGAGTTACTCTTAATGTTTCCTATTTTTAATAAAAAAAGAATGGTTGTATTTACCAAATACAAGCTTATTATTCCGCTATATTTAATGATATACTTACTGGATCAACATCCCAAATAATTACAGTCATATCCTTAGAACCTGTAGCTAGCTTACGACCATCAGGAGAAAATTTACAATACCACACTTCATCACAATGATTATTGAGCACCTGTATAGTATGGCACGGGAACTGTTCTTTGCTACAGCTGTGGTCCACAAGCAATGAGACATTTTCTAAACTTGTCTAATTTACAACAAATATATAATTATAATTACATTAATAATAAAATCAGACAAATATTATACAAATTTAAATATATTTTTTATTTGTTTTAGAAATATAATTTAAAGAGACAGCAAATAGTACCTGAGTATGTGTTACATGGTATGTACACTGTTGATTTTGCATTTCCACAGCTTGACACAAAAGAGAATGAAGGCGACGTGGTGGTAACATAATGGAGGGTGGCAGATATTTCTGTAGTCTGTCCATTAAAGCAGCCCTCGAGACTGCACCTTTGCCATCCCAGCCTGCACGTGTCTGTTAACAAGTGTCTATTTGCTAGTGATCAAATTTTCAGTAACAGGTTAGTTTCAGAATATTTCTATACCCATACAAAATTCAATCTTTGAAAGTTCATTAGTATACAATCAATTAGCAATAAATGATATAATACATACTTTACTATATATATCTTTGAAATAGAATGTTACTAGTGAAATACATATTATCATATATAATACCTGTAATTCATCACGTCCACTGCACATCATAAATGCAGACAATTGGTGAACACGACCTGTATTATGTCCTAAAGGTGTGAGTTCATTACGTAAAACATGCAATGCTTCCAATACTAATCCTTCTTCCAAGTATTCTAAATATTTTTGTTCTAGTAATAAGAATTTCATTTCCTATAAATGAAAAATATCAATGGAATATACGTGTACTCAATTATAGATTTTAAATTTGGAGATATTTACTACTAGACTTTGATTTGCTCCATTTAGAAA